TGCTTGGCCCAGGCAGCGTTACCCCCATTATATTTCAAACAAGGAATCCATTCTAGGCACAGACACAAGTTCAGCTTGTTATCTACACCTCGGCTTCCTTCTCTTCTCTTTTTAGCCACTGAGTTTTCACCAAGCCTGAAGGGCAGCTGGGGCACAAGGGGAGCCAGGAGTTGCTGCTGGTACCACCTCGAGGTTGCACTCGTCTGAATACTACGGAAAAAGAAGCGTTTCAAGTGTTATCAGTTTTGAAGCGTTATCAATTTCCACGTCGTACAAAACAGACACCCATTAAATCCTGCTTAAGTATTTTCTCTAGCTAACGCTGTGCTAGAAGATGCAACTAAAGAAATGAGTAACAGAGGAGTGAAGTGCATCCTCTGGAATGGAAAATGTTTCTCTTGAGGTGAAGCAAGGGCCTGAGCCTGTTAAACTGCTGCGAGACTCTGAGGCTGGAGAACTCAGAAGATGACTCACATCTTTCTTTTTTTTTTTCTTTCCCCTCCTCTCTTTTTTAAGGAGGCCAGAGATACCTGTTCTTAAGCAAGAGAAGAGCAACTTCCTGGACAACACACCACATACCCAGTTTACCGCCTATAAAAAGCCGCCTTTCACACAGGCTCCCGGCGCTTGTCGGGGACGCACCCCTCGCCGCCGAGCACCACGGGGCTCTGACTCACCCGCTTCACCCCTTCAGAACTGACGGCAGGGCTAAAATTACACTGCTCTTCGCGGTGCTCCAAATTTTGAAAGCGAGATGGATTGCGGTGCTCAAGTCATCCACCTCAGCCTGAAGTCCTGAAAGCCACTGCTTAGACATAATTCTGAAAGTCACAGATTTGAGCAGCGTTGGTGCCGGAGTCGTGCTTAGGACATCAGAAGAGGAACAGAACTAGTAAGTGGAGGTGCCACTAACTCACCAGCAGCCCTTGAAAGCTGACACTTCCCCGCACGGCGAGGGGGAAGCGCCTTTTTTTTTTCCTCCAGAAAGCGCCAAAGCCGAGGTGATTTCAGATTCCACGTACCGAGCCCTTCAGGCTGGACAGATATTAGAAACGTATCCAAGATAAAAAGCACAACCGTGCGCTAGTGGGAAGTCTGAGTCACGGTGCCCACGCCAAGGCTGCTTCCACACTCCAGAGCAAGTTCTACACTCCCAGCAGTCACTTCTCCCATTCCCAGTTCCCAGCGACAAGGGATATAACGCTCAGGTCCATCAGCGAAGCGACCGGCTATCACAGATCTTCCAGCCAGCTGTTTTGACGATGCAACTGATTTTATTTTAAACCAAAATACATTCTTTTGGGAGAACTATTGTATTAGCAGGGTTAATTTCCAATTAGGGATGGCAGGGACATTTTTTCCGAACCCTGTCCATAAGGACCATGGCCCTGTGACTGGGGAAAAAAGCCCTGCTGAGGCGTGAGTCACGGCGCGATTCGGGAAGGGCGCGCTCGGGACTCACGCTAACTGCTGCTGTAACAAAGGTCTGATTTAAAACGATAAGTGCTGACATTTTGAAAAATGACTAACTACTACAATGAAAGAGACATGAGTTTACTCTTCTGGAGCCTTGTCTCCAAACTCTAAGTAGTTTAATTAAGTCAGAGTAAGTTCATTTACACAGCCACACCCTTAACTGACATTCAGGTAGACCGAGCCTAGCCTAAATACCCTGGAAGAAAGAGGCTTCGCAGAGGATTGCAGCTGCGGTGGACCCACCGCCCCCGCACCCAGGTACTCCCACCTGGCTGCGTAATGTTTCCTGGCGGTTCCTGAGAGCTTTGCGACACGGAGACAGCTCCGAGCGGCTGACGCCTGGCCTCACACCTGCAGTCGTGGGTGCTGGGAGCTACCTCCAAACCTCCGCCGTCCCCTCTGCCAGCAAAGGCCCTGCCCCAGCAGCCTGGCAGCCCGGTTCAGGCTGGGGTCGGTGGGTGGTTCCTGTAACCTCGCTGCGGCTCCTCGGGCCGCAGGACGGCAGCTGCTGCAGTAACCATAGCCCGCTCCCCCAGCCTGCGGCTCGGGCCCCGGCCCCCAACGCGTTCCCCGCTGCACCTGCCCAAGTCCTTTTATCGGCTCGCTCCTGCCCTATTCAGGCATCCAAGACGTCCCAACTTCACATCTGTCACTCCATGAGCACCCCTATTCACGCACCGACCCTTCTGTCCAGCGATGCGTTTTCTACACTGGCCTTTCCGACCGATCTTCCCTTTCCGACCAAGTAATTTCTTCCGTGAAACACAGCACCGTCCTGCTCAGCAACAGTCCCTCCGTGCCCTCTCACGGAGCTGGTCACCTTCCCAAGTTACATGGGGCTGGCACCGAGGCAGTATAAATCTGACACTGAAGGTTGCTAAAGATTGTTAACTGCAAGTGGGAGTATTAAAGAAGTATCATCCCTTCCACTTATAAAAATAGTCACTAATTTGAGTCTCAAAGGAATTACAGACGGGCTTTCAAAACTGTGAGATACAGAACAGAGACCTCTTTATGTTGGCAGAATGCTCTACTCCAGCACCGTATTTCCCCTTTCTATTTCTCTCATAATTAAATATAAGTAACATACCAGGAGAGCTCCGCTGTATAATTGCTTTATTTTCTGCTTATTAGTTCTTTACCAACACTACAGCCATATTGAGAACATAAAATTCCTGTTTACTTTAGTCAGGGAGATCACAGTCTACAAACTCATTCACTTATCAGACACGATTAACGCCATTCAAAACTTACTCCATAAATTCACATGAACACAAATTGATGCACTTAAACTCCAGATTAGTTTTTAAATCATAGGATTTCTTACAGATTGCCACTTTATCCTACAGGCTGCGTTTACTGCCTGATGGCCACTAGTTCGTGGTGAGGTTCAGCTACAATCTATAAAGGACATGTTAAAAGTGAAACCTTTGTATTTTTTTTCAGTAGCAATAGCCATTTATTTTTGACGTCTCTGCCACATGTTTCAGTAACTTTCTCTCCCCCCCCAAAAGACATTAAAAAAAAAATTCAGAAGCATAATCAGTTTCCTTTCACCTACAAAAACAGAATAACAAAGTTACTAAGGAAATACAAAATTGTGAATTCAACTTAATGCAAAGTCTAGCAAAGAAGTCTGCCCCAGCACTTGAAGAAAAAACACAGTAAATCAACTTAGACGAAAAATGAAGTTGTTGAAGTTTTCATGTTGACTGAGATAGATTTAAGAAAGTTCAAGAACCGTTAATAGAGCTTCAAGTTTTCCAGTTTAGGCATTTACTTTGTGCTTGGCTATTTTATTTATGCTCCAGAAGAAAACAGAAATCATATTCTTGTGGTTTTAGTCTTTATACCACCACACTATTTGTTCAGTTACATCAACAGGAAAAAAAAAAGTGGCTAGAAAATAGAGCAATGATATTCCACTGGCAAAAATCCTTGAGTGAAAAAAAAGATCTCACCTCCTCTTCTTTAGAGTTTAGATTTAAGAGTTATTCTACATTAAGCTTTTGCAGACTCTCTTTAACTTCGGAAGGCTTAGTCAGTCAATGCTCTATCTTCTAGCATCAAGAACCCATTCAGTCCCATTTGCAACCCACATCAAGATAAGTCTTTTGGAACCATATTCTAAGGGGAACTTTTAAGTGGTCCAAAGCATTCAACTGCAGAAGTGAATTCAGTATTTTTATCTTTCCGTACATCTTTGGTAAGAGCTCCATATACAATGTACTTAGCATGCAGAGTCACCACTGCAGAAATATAGTGTAATGCCCCCAATTTCATGTAAAACTCATATCCTTGTGGGGAAAGGAAAGGAAAAAAAAAAAAAAAAAAAAAGACATTTTCTTCTGGTTTTGTAGCATACATTCCTAGAATTCCCCAATAGATTTTAACTCCTTGAGGAAATCTGAAGTTAATCCTTAAGGCTGAATAAGAACCAGCTGCTTTAATGTTTTTTGCACTCAGCATTAATACTTGATTGAGTTTTCATACTAATACTTGTTCTGGGTGGGTTGGTTTATTTTTGCCAGTCACACCTGCAAACTGTGATACAGCAAATGAGCTGCTTGCCCTTTAAGAACTAATTATGGAAGTTTACATTCATAGTCGTATACTCTCTCTCTCTCCCCTCCCCGCTCTCATTAGTAGTTACTCAATGGGCTTCAGACATCCAACATCGCTCCCCTCCTACAGGACTACAGCAACAACCGGCTACCAAGACAGATGGCGAAGACTGCAACTGCTTGCATGAGTTCAGTCGAGTCCTGGAAAACTAAACCAAGAAGTGATTTCCTCAAAATGGCTATTATTCAGATGTCAGAATTACCAAGCTCAGTTAAAGCTTAGCACGGAACTTGCCCCTTCGGAAGTCTACAAAATGGAAAAGAAAAAAAAAAGTTTTCCTTCTCCACTACATGCACGTCAGAAAGAATCAGAAAGACTTCTAAGATTTAGATGTCTTCAACTGTCTTGAGATTTAAAGCAATTTGTCTCGATCGCAAGACAGGCAAGTCAGTGTTAGATTTTTGCCTAAACATCTCTGATTTAAAGTAAAACTTGTTGCAATGCTTACGCGTTATTGCTGCATTTTCTGGAAAAAACCTATCTTGCATTGAACTGGAGACTGACAGGAGTAGTAAATGATGTTTAGCTGCAGTTTTTAAGTTTGCAATGCAAGACAAAAACTGAACAGTATCTACCCTGGAACTATTACATCATTCATGTCTTATTTGCTATATGGTTGCTATGTAGTATGGGGAACTTATTTGCATCCCTTCTCATGCATGATGTATGGTTCAGAACTTCACAGCTGACATTTCAAAGCGGTTCTTACATTACCTAGTTAACATTACGCCTGATATGCACTTTGAACATGTTACAATGGTATTCTCACTATCTGCCACTGTAGGCAAGTATTCATTTCGTTATTAGTCTGAGATATGAAGACAGACTGAAAGTCACTATTTAGTTACAGATTAACAGAACTTTAAAAAAAGTCCTTAATATAAAAAGACAGACTGCAGTTTGATTTTAAGCAATAATTTTCAGTTTACTAGATGAAGTAGACCTATCAACATATTCTGCATGAATGCAAAAAAGTAGCAATCTACAGCAAGTGATAGAAGAAAAAAAAATATAATCAAAAAAGTAGAATCAGAAAGCATACACTGAAAATGGTACCCCTCCCCCAACCATCCCCCAAAATAAATCAAACCATCTTAAGGGCTATCAAGAGGAAAAAAAAAAAGTTACTTAGCAAGTCTACAATGTGTCTTTCCCCTGTTTGCTGGAAGTCTGCCATAGCATCTAGTGCTTGTGTTCATGTCACATTCGGAGATTAGAGCATCCTAACGCCAAGCAAAAAGAGTTAAAACAGGAATCCAGTCAAGTGTGCAGAAGGAAAGGGTGGTAACTGGAGAAAGGTGATCATAATCCTATGGATGCTTTTGTCTTACTTTTCAGTAGAGAATCATTCTTCCGGAAAGCCATGTGGGTTTTTTTTTTTTTTCTTTAATTCTTTGTAGACTAAATAGTTATTCACTCATTAGGATTTATAATTGGACGTTAACCATGTCAGCCCTTCATAGAGTCCATCCCCTGTAGTAGCACAGGAGGGCTGCACGTACCAATTCCTATCCCTGATTCGGGTCAGGCCCAGTTTCTCCTGGATTTCATGGGGTTTCATGGCATCCGGCAGGTCCTGCTTGTTGGCGAAGATAAGGATGATGGCGTCCCGCATCTCCCTGTCATTGATTATGCGGTGGAGCTCCTGGCGGGCCTCGTCGATGCGGTCGCGATCGGCGCAGTCCACCACAAAGATCAACCCTTGCGTGCCCGTGTAGTAGTGCCTCCAGAGAGGACGGATCTTGTCCTGGCCCCCGACATCCCACACGTTGAACTTGACGTTTTTGTAAGTAACCGTCTCCACGTTGAAGCCGACGGTGGGGATGGTGGTGACAGACTGGCCCAGCTTTAGTTTGTACAGGATGGTGGTTTTACCAGCCGCGTCCAGACCCAGCATCAGGATCCGCATCTCCTTGTTGCCGAAGATCTTGGACAGCACCTTCCCCATCTCGGCGGCATCCAAGGGGCCCGGCGCCTCCGGGGTGGGGGGAGCGGAGGGACAAGCGCCGACCCACCCGAACAGCCCGCGCGG